TTTTTTTGGGGGAGGGCCCTTGGGAAAAGCCCTTTCAACTAAGGAAGGTACCCTTTTTTTTTTTTTTTTAAAAAAAACAAATTTTTTTTTTTTTGGTGGGGGGCCCTTTTCCGGTCCCCGGTGCCATTCCCCAGGTTGGAAATTTTCCTTGTTCCTCAGGCTTCTTGTTTCCTTGATCCTGCTCTGCAGTTCGCTGATGCTCTCCCTTGTAGTGTCTTCTCCAAGGGTACCTTCCCCGAGGTCAGTACCAAGCCAGCGCGCTCCTTTGCCTGCATCCCTGAGCTTGAGCTGCGTCAGCCTAGCAGCTCCCCCCCCCCCCCCCATGATACCCACGCCAGCTCCCACGCCTCTTGCCCATCACCTAGACAAACAGCCATCAACCGCATACTGACGCTCATTGCACAGGTCTACGTCCCCACTGTCTTTGAGAACTATGTCGCCGACGTCGAGGTGGATGGCAAGCACGTCGAACTCGCCCTCTGGGATACCGCTGGCCAGGAAGATTACGACCGTCTCCGCCCGCTCTCATACCCCGAATCCCACGTCATTTTGATTTGGTTTCCCATCGACTCCCCCGAATCCCTCGATAAAGTCCAGGAAAAAGGATGAATGCAACCACCCACGGGCGCATGCCTCACCCCATAATGACTGGTCTACCTAATGGAACTCAAAAATTTTGCACTTCTGCCAGGGCCTGCCTATTATCCTCGTTGGCTGCAAGAAGGACTTGCGCTTGGACCAGAAGACGATTGAGGAGCTGCACAAGACTTCGCAGAAACCTGTAACTCCCGAGCAGGTGAGAGGGACCACGTTCCCCATCAACAGCCCGCCCTGCTAACTCACATGACCAGGCCGAGGATGTGCGTAAGAAGATTGGCGCCCAGAAGTACCTAGAGTGCTCGGCAAAGACGAACGAGGGTGTCCGAGAGGTTTTCGAGCATGCCACACGAGCTGCTCTCCTTACCCGGAAAGAGAAGAAGTCGAAGAAGTGCCTGATCTTGTAAGAGCGGTCAGGACTGGTGATGAAATAGCGGAGCCGTCGCAGCCCATGACATGTTGAGCCTGGACAAGAACAACACTGGGCGGCTCTCGAGAATGTGCGATAGTAGTGGTCTCTGTGTCGGTATCGAGAGAGGAGGGTGTCCGGTAACGTGAACGGCCGGGAAGGTAGGGGAGAAGGGGCTCTCCAAGGACGCACCATGGTCGGGCCTCTGCTTCCTTTGCTTGCTGGCTGGATCCCCACTGGTGCCCTTTTTCCTTGTCCTTGCCTGGCTTGCCAGGGCTCCCACCTGTACGAGGCGTTTTCCTGTGCGTTCTCTGGGTCTTTTGTGTGTGTTTGGCAAAGTACATCATCTTGGGGCACAAGTTTTCATGATGGTGTTAATCTTCTCAGAGCGTTGCAGATTGAGATTGTGAGCAAATGGTAGGATCTTTCTAATAATCGTGCTTGGCTTTTTGATGGCTCCATGATGCTGTGGCCCTTTTGCTTACTGAGCTTGTCTGTGATGATGATGATGGTGATACTAATACTACTAACAATAGCTGTAATGCAAGTCCTACAAGTGACTGGCAATCGTCGTAATACAAATCACCCCAACACATTCTTTGCCCTAGCACATGTAATCCCGCATCTTGACCATGTTGACCACTTGACCCGTGTCTGACTCAACAATACCATGCCCATTGTGTGTCTAAGCTGTACATGCGAGCTTTGTACAGTGTCTTGTTGTACGTGGGTTTGTACGTGGATTATATATATACCTACCTACACTGCAACCATCTACCTATGCCCATGCACGCTCAAGTACACACATGATACACTGCATTTTCCATCTCTTGCTCTTGCTCTTGCTCTTGCTCTTGCTCTTGCTCTTGCTCTTGCTCTTGCTCTTGCTCTTGCTCTTGCTCTTGAACTGATTAGACCTGACCTCCCACACGCCGAATCTCCATCTTCAATTTCAACAGTGTAGAACTCTGGGTATATTTGTATCCTATCCATCCATCCCCCTCACCTCCCAACTCATCCCACTTCATCCCATTTCACCCCATTCTACCAAATACAAATAAAAATAGACAACGTCAACCCAAAATACACCACTCCACCAACACCCATCAACCTACCTACCCCTCTCCAACATCTCCCCGCCCCGTCCCCGCCCCATCGCCTTCCTCGCCTGTCCAATTTCCACCCCACTCATCCCCAAGCCAGGCAGATACGTCTCAAACGCCTGCAACACGGCTCGCAAGCCGTTGTCCAGACAATCGCGGACCTGGTGTACGTGTGCGAGTGCATTCGTTGCGTCGCCCTCTGCATGCGGAGAAAGCTTGTCGCTGCTCTGTCCCTGTGTCTCCACATAGTCGTCCAGCAGGACCAGGGCCTGGGTAAACGTCCTGACGATCTCGGGTATGCACTTTTGATACCGACCCAGCGCGTCCTGGGCAATGGAACAGGTGGTGAGGTTCGTCAAGGCGGTAATGGCGTTGCAGAGCATAGAGACGCGGGAGTAGGGGGCTCCGAGGATGACAATGGCCATTGTGCGCGGGAGTGGTTGTTGGAAGAGACTGCCAATCGGCGAGGAAACAAGCCATTTGTACGAAGCCGAGAGCATGGATTCGGCCTGTTGTTTCCCTTCTTTCGCCTTTTCCACGCCTTTGGCCAGGGCTTCCCGCCCATAGGCTTGTTGGGCGTTGCCGGGGCTGCTGTAAGTTTTCGCAATGCCGGAGGTGGCGGCTTCGACGTGGTCCCATTTGGAGGTCGGCTTCGGTGGGAGCGCGGTGACGGTCTTGTCAGTGCGGAGGGGTTGGGAGATTTGCGGTACGAGGTTGATGGGGGCAATGGGATTGGAGGTGGTGCTGGGGGCGGGTGTGTAGTCTGGGTTCGTGGCTATGCTCAGGCGTTCGATGAGCAGTTTGAGTTCGGAATGGCAGATGGAGGTTACTTGTTGGAAGGTTTCGCCCTTTTTACGGTCGGTCTCCGAGTAGATTGTTGCGCGGCGGCCGGGGAAAGAGGAGGTGATCAAGGCGAGTTCCCAAAAGGCAATGGCCTGGGCTTGTTAGCTGGTTCTACCTGTGTGACCGTCTAGTCTGTGCTTACCTTGACTGCATCCTTCTTCGACTTGAGACCGTTGAGAAGCGTGCCATTGGGGTCCTTGGAGTCGTCTGTAATGGGCTTGTCGTTCTTCAGCGGCTCCTGCGCAATGTATACATCAAAGGCCTTGTTGACAAACTCCCACAACAATACGAGCAAAGAACCCTCAAGGACAAATGACATGACGAGAGGCGCAAACGGCGCAAGTCCAGTTGGCTTGGATGTCTTGGACAGACTCCACAAGTTTCGTGCGATCGAGTACCAGATGCCCCAAATAAAGTGACGGGTCACCAAATAGTAAGAAGCCGCGCTGGCAAACCACACGATTGCAGATAGAGTGACTGATTTAATCATCAGGCTGGGGAGGCTCCTTAATAGCACGTTTGAGGGTTTCTGTGACTGGCTCGTTGGCACTGCTGCTGCCGCCTCTTCGCCCTCTGTCTTGGGCTTCAGAGCCGGAACATCAATCTTGTCATAGTCCTTCCACAGATGTACACCAGCTTGTGCAAGAGCCAACACAAAGAAGGACCAATGGAGGTATATCGGCCGCTCGTTCAGCTTGATGCGCTCATATTCGCGCCCAAGCTCTGTAGCCCCAAGCTTGTCTGCAGGTGTACGTGACCATATGTAGGCCTCGAGATAGATCCAAGCTGAGAAGGCATAGAAGGCGGGGGTCAGCAGCGTCGCCGAGCGGAACAGGTATTTGCTAAGGGTCGCGGCTGGATGAGAGGTATGGCGCGCACCGACGTGCCATTGCGCAACGCGGAGTACGTAGATTGTGAGGGCGGGGATGAAGAGAATAAGGGTGCGCAGGCCGGTGAAGCCAAAGGGAGTCAATGTCCAGTAGACTGTAAGTTATAATGTTAGTATGTATACTATGTTACATGACAGAACAAACACTCACCACCTCTCAACTCGCCCATCCACACAGCAACGATGTAACATAACAACAGCGTATATCCGCTCGCATGGGTGAATCTCCGATGTAAAGCTGGCGTCAAGTAATCTTTGTAGGGGCGCACCTGGGCTCCCAGTGGTGCAAGCGCCATGATGTTATGGCAGTGGAAGTGGTGTGAAGTGAGTTGGGGTGTGACAGTCGCGCGGCCCAAGGAAGGAGCGTGTATGCGGTAGAATCAGATCATAGCAGCATGGAAGAAGCGACGGCGATGGGCCTCTTGCGTATGTGTGAGAGAGAACGAATGAACGAACGGAATACGAGAGGCAGTCGGGAAATCTCTCTCCTCTCTCAGTAGGACGGTCAGCCAAAAGACTCCAAGGCGCCGCTCAACTTTCTCAAACAAACACTGGCGAGGCGTCGGTGGAGCTTGAGCCAGGAACGCCGAAGGGGCTGACTAAGGTGGATCCGCTGTTGTGTGCCATGTTCGTCATCGCCGCCTTGCCAGGAACCAGCCCAGACGACCATCACGACGAGAACGACGACGACGAACGACGAGGATCTGGCCGTCAAAACCACCCATAAACCCCGTCGCATAGCCTCGAGAAAGAGAAGGAAACAGGAAAATAAAAGAATTTCCGACTCACCACCACCAAACAACTTTCCACACATCTCACCACCCCGTTTGGCACACGCCCCATCCCCAACCACCACCCACCATGTCCTTCCAGCGCTCCAGCGCCCTCGAATCCCAGCCCACAACCTGGCGCAGAGAAGACGACCCCTCGTACGCCGACGACCCCGAGTTCCGCGACTTTGCCAGCAAACTCTCCGACGACCTTTTCGCCCTCACCCGCAATGTCGCCCGCCTCTCAACCGAAGTCGCCAAGGTCGGCACCAAGCACGAGACCGCCCGTGTCCGCGAGCGCGTCAAGACCACCGTCGAGGAGACGTCGGAGAAATTCAAGGAGATTGGCCAAGGTGTCAAGAAGATCACTACATGGCCTGACGTCGGGGTATGATCAATCTCCCTCACCCTTCCCTTGCACACTGGAAAACAACAAGCCGAAGAGCCCCATACTAACACATGCCCTCCCTTTCCAGCCCTCGCAGAAATTCACCCAGTCCAAACTCCAACGCGAATTCAAAGCCTCCCTGACCGAATTCCAACAACTCCAAAAGACCGCGCTCGACAAGGAAAAAGCATCTGCACAAGCCGCCCGCGCCGCCCTCGACTCCCCCTCCTCCCCCTCCGCCCACCAACCCCACCTCCAACAGCAACAGCAGCAAGACCAGCTCCAACTCCGACTCGCCAACCAAGACGAAGTCGACTTCCAAGAATCCCTCATCATCGAACGCGAATCCGAAATCCGCAATATCGAACAGAGCGTCGGCGAACTCAATGAGCTGTTTAGAGATGTCGCTCACATGGTGCATGAGCAGGGCGCTCAGCTCGATATCATAGAGGAGAATGTAGAGGTCACGCATGATGCGAGTCGTGGCGCCCATGTCAATCTGAAACAGGCGAGTAATTATCAGAAGAGCGCGAGGAGTAAGGCGTGTATTCTGCTGCTGATTATGAGTATCGTCCTGGTTATTATCATTTTGGCTGTCGTGCTGGATTGAGATTGTGCTGTATGGGCAGTAGGTATGGGGCCGTTTTGCATGGGCGTTTTCTTTTCATGTTTTCAACTTGGGGATGCGTTTCGGTTTGGGCTGAACAATTGGGTATACCATGGTGTGTATGTCACTGCATAGTTGTTTATAAGTCGGTCGGTGGTTGCCTCATCTTTACATAGGCGGTTAATGGTGCAGCGTTCCTCATACCTTCCATCCGTGCATCCTCTCCTCACATCCATTGATTTTCAATGGCTTTGATCGTGAAGCGTCCGATTCCTCTCATTCCATATACATACACACACATCAAAACGACCCCTAGAACTGCCAATCCCAACATCCTAGGACGCCCTAACAGTAAGTTCCCCGCCAAACATCTTGCCAACCTTGTAAATCTGCCTAGACCGCGGTAGTCTCCCATTAATCTATCCCAGAGTTAGTCAATCCAAAACCTTGCTCCCAAAATAGCACAAACATACCTTGGTACTATCCCGAAACGCCAGCTCCGTCTGTCCATCATTCATAGGAATCGCATGTTCAGGTAGGTCAAAAACCTCGCGCAGTGTCGGACCTTCGAACGTCCTCGTTGTCTTCCCATTGCCCTTGACATCACCGGTGTGCATGTTCCGTAATGGCGGAATCCACGCTCCATCGCTCTCGTCGTGAATGTCCTGTCGTCCATAGCGTCGCACGTGTCCGAGTCGGTAGTCGGACCCAAAGAACTGCTTTCTCGAAGGTCGAGCCTTGATTTGCGCAATCTTCTTAGCTTTTTCTTCCTCGGTCATGAACTCGATAGACGAGGGTTGCGCTTGGAGAAAGGCCTTGTAACTTGTCTCGCGTTTGGAGTCACGGAGAATGGACAAGTCTACTTGCGGTTTACGTTTGACGGCACGTTCGAATGGCATGAAGGGCGCGATCAGGTCTTCGGATGGCATTACTGGCGTGGCTTTTGTCGCGGAGAGAGTTTCACATGATAGTGACGGCTTGACGGGCGGATCATCGTCTCTTGATGAGGCGGTCTTTCTCACTCGAATAGATTGGGCCTGTCCTTTGCGATTCAAGGCTGAAGGCGACTTAACGTACGTTCTAGAGGATTCGCCTGCTTCGCTGACAGGCGTGGTGATGACATTCCAATACTTTGCATACAAAGCTCTGTACCGCTTCCGCATCGATGCGTCAACGAAGGAGTATCTCTTCGTATTGTCTCTAGTGCCTGATATCTCACTACGAAAGAGCTCTGGCAAAGCCGAAAGCTTGGTTTCGACTCGAGTCTCCCAAGATGCTCGACCTTTTCGCAGAAGGGGGAATGCTTTCGCTATCCAGTTGATCACTTCTACTGCTGTAAGGCCTGAGTCATCTGCGGCTGAAAGTGCTATAATTGCCAGTTCGCGCGCAGTGTGCCGCAATTTAACATACTTTAAACGCGGATGTTTTACAACCTGTTCAGAGCATGCCCAGGTGTCCGATGAGACGGATCCAGCATGCAAAGCCATAGTAGACTCTGTCCCGGTCAACTTTAACTGCAAATCTTCATCACCGGCGTCATGCACTTCCTCGTCTGTAGCATTGGTAGACTCAAGGCTTAGGTCGTTGTCATTTGTTCGACAGCTTCTGACCATGACGATCGGAGGCGGTGAGTTGCTGTCGTTCTTCGGTTGTTTCAAGTGCGCTTCCGTTGGAACAGGATCTTCCATTTTCTCCATTACGTGGGCTTTGGAAACTCGCACACATGTGTCGAGCATGGGTACCGGCCCTTCCACAGATGGTTGTTTGCGAACAAGTATCTCTCCTGAGATATTAGCCTGGAAATTGTCATTGCTTTCGTATCTTCCCAACGACGGCTCCCATCGTGCATTTTCCATGCTCAAGATCACATCATGATCAATTTTCTTTCGCTTGATCTTCAGCTTTGTATTGATCAAGTTCGAATGGAACCATGGCTTTACTGGGTTTGATGTAAACACAGCGGGGGACGTGCTGCTCAATCCATCTTTAGGGCTTTGCGTTGCACACGCTTCATTGTGTGAAGCAGCATGATAAGTGTCTGGTGTCTCAAGTTTGCCAGACTCCGCAATAAGTGATCTGTTTCGACAAGTATGGCTGAAGAGGCGAGTAAGTCATCGAGGCCCCCAAGTATGCTGAGCGAAGAGCACTTACCAATGAATGTTTTCATCCTCGCATGTTGCGAATACTCGTTTTGTTCGACAGGAAACACATAGTACTATCCGCATTGCAGTGATACCGGCCGCTGGCTGATGAGGCCGATCCCTAGCTGTTAATTTGTCGTCATTGCTCTGTGCCTCGCGTTCATTGCCGAGCCGTGCATCAAAAGGTTGGTCAGGAACCTCGGATGCGCGCGAATGTTGCGTGGGTGTATTGAGAATTTGCTCAAAGTCATAGTCGCTTGCGTGAAGCGATGTAAAAGGAATTGTTCTGTAATCCGAGTTGTCCCTGCGATTGATAGAGTTTGACGACCTGGCTTCGTTGGGGCCACGCAGAATGTTCCATATGCTCATGTTGTCGTGATTACTTGCGTTGCCATGCTCGGCGGTGTTGCAGGCGAAGCGACTGTCTCCAACTGATGACGTTGCCTCAGTTTGCTGACCAGGCTGCACTAAAAGAGGCTGGGAGCTGCGATCAGGTAATGCAAAGCTGTTGACCCATTTGGGAGACGGCTCTGCGTCTGAGCTCAGCGACACTAAAGTCTGATCGTCATCAAGGTTCGAACATGTACTCAGTTTTGAGTATGTATTTGATGTTGCTGCCGAAGGGTCTCCATGACGGATATTGGAGTCCCTCTGCGCACTAGGAGCGGTCGATATTCGCGCGCGATTTGAAGATAAGCAGTTGGAGCATCGCCAGTGCTGCCTGCTTACTTATATCAGCTATGACTGGGTCTTTGTTTCACATGCACTTACGGCTCTACTAAGTCACCTAAGGGAGGTTTTCGACAACTGTCGTGATATGGACTCGCGCATCCTTGACAAATGAAGATTTGGTTGTAGTTGGTGGCGGAGCTTCCTTTGCAGACAGGACACGCACGTTTGACGGTCACTCGCGGAACAGCCGAATGACGTGGAACCACTGCGTCGCTATTCCTCGCTTTGCCTATGACGCTGTCTTTTCCACTGCCATGCGTGGTCGGTGGATTTGGTAAAGAATGTGGATACTTCCATAGACCTTTTCTGTCCTGCTGCCTGTTCAGCTCGTGCTGCTGGAAAGTAGGCAAGCCATCGAGGCTACGTTCGTGAGCACGGTTAAATATCAATCATAACATCAACATCATACCTACGTCTGACCACGTCCTGGGTTAAACATGGCCTTGCTGGCAATTCTGTTGGGCGCGGAGCAACGACGTTTGCCGTGGGAACATCGTTGTCCGTGCGCTGTCGTTTGAGGGGTGGTGGTGATATCCTTTGAGCAGCGCGATGTCGTCGGGTAGGGTATGCATCGGGGAGTGGGAAGCTAATGTTGCCGTCTTGTCCTGATCCGTTGCGTTTATCCGATTCTTGTATGGTAGTATTGTCGTCTCTGATGCGTGGCTGGCCAATCTGCTGCATGTGGCTTTGCGTTGCCAGAGGAAAATTCATCCATCTGTTTCTTGATATTCCCATTTGGAAATAGGAACTTAGCCAGGACCTTCAGCCTAGAATATCAAGACAAGTCAGCCAAGTGCGTACCATTGCTAGCTTGTTATGAGGCGAAAGTGGACATGTTTCAGCTCTTTTCAGTTTTGTTTGAATCAAACCAGCATTTCGCTACGTCTGAGGCTTGCTCTTTGATACTGCTGGGCCCACTGCATGCGAGTGATGGTTCCCGCGCTGCTCATGGTCATCAGACAGTATCCAAGGCAGACCATCAGCCACGCTTTGCGATCTGACCTTTTACCAGTAGTCATCATCTCATGGGGTTGCTCAAATGGGAGCATTGTGGGAGAGGACCCAGGGAAACATGAGCTTACTTTTCGTCTCGCTATGACATTAGAGCACTGGGACCGAATGTCTATGGCATGTATAAACAATCGGCCGTGCCAGAGCGTATAGGTAGGGTACAATTCAAGGGCAGCGTTTCTCGGAGACATGTAGGGGCTGAGGCGTAGATGGTATGCGAGCAGCCATGGGAGCGGAGTGAAGAGGTACTTGCGCGGCTGTACAGTCAAGCCGTGGCGTGAGAGAGAGTGAAAGATTTTCTCTGTTGTTGCCGCACTCGCAGTCTGTTTCTTGCGCATGGGCCGTCGCGGTGATGACGCGCCGCCGGGGAAGTTGCGGAGATGACAAAAGGCTGGATTGACGCGCGATCACGTGGAAGGGATGTTCCTGGACAGTACCTAGAGTGGGGCAAGGCGCATCTGTCCTCTCTGGCAAGTCGCGCAACAGACGTCTGGTCAGAACGCGAGATTCTTTGCGCAGTGGCTATAACTGCCGGTCCGGCGCTCACATAAACCCTCATGGACTTTCTCAAGTCCGCAGTAGCATCAGCCATCTCCAAAGGGCCGGCTTTTGGATATACGTTTGGCGATCGTGTAGACCTCAACGACTCCATCTGGACGTTGCACAACGGCACAAAGCGAGTACGGCCCGGACATCTGCACTGGCTGATATTTGGGCTAATACGCAAATCGCTAGGAAGATGGCTCCAAGTGCAGTATATTCTCCTTCGACATTACTGCGAACAAATCTCGGCTGCCACTCGCCCGCAATGCACTCCGCAAACTACGAACCCTGCGACACCCAGGCGTAGTCAAGGTTCTCGATACTGTAGAGACGGAGACATACATCTACATTGCCACAGAAAGACTGAGTCCTCTGAGCTGGCATGTGAAAAGGAAGAGCCTGACAGAGGAAACCACAAAATGGGGGTTACACAACGTAGCGCAGACAGTCAAGTTCATCAATGCGGACGCCGCCTCGATTCATGGCTGCCTTCGCCCGGCATCAATCTTCTTCAGTGAAAGCGGCGAGTGGAAGCTCGGTGGATTCGATGCTCTTAGTTCTGTCAAGGAGGATGACTCTATACTACCTACCTATGGCGGACTCATACCTGATGCTGGCCGCTATATGCCCCCCGAGATTGCAAAAGCGGGATGGGAGGTGGTCAAACAGAACCCAACCCCAGCGGTCGATGCGTACAATTTTGGCATTCTCATCTTTGAGGTCTTCAATGGCGGCTACCACAGTAGTGACCAGCTGGGACAGATGAAGAGCATCCCCGCCAGCATGCATCAGTCCTACAAGCGTCTTCTTAACCCAAACCCGAAGTCACGAATGAGCGTTGGGCAATTCCTGGACCAAGGGAAACGGCTAGGGGGGTTCTTCCAAACGCCACTGATCCAGGTAACAGACGACATCGAAAACCTTGGTCTGAAGGCAGAGGATGAGCGCAATGAGTTGCTCGGGTGAGTAATGTCACAGACGGCTCATCACCCAAAACCACTGACTGTGCTCTAGTAAGCTTGACGAAGTTTCTGATGACTTTCCTACAGACTTCTTCAAGATGAAGGTACTTCCCGAATTGCTTAAATCTGTCGAATTTGGTGGAGGTGGTCCCAAAGTATTCAGCACTGTCATGCAAATCGGACAGAAACTTTCGGATGAAGAGTATGAAACTCAAATCACTCCAGTGGTGGTGCGACTTTTTGCCAATCCAGATCGAGGGATACGCGTCTGCCTGCTGGACAATTTGCCGCTCATGATTGATCACCTCCCACAAAAGCTGGTCAATGATAAAATCTTTCCTCAAATGGTCAGTCCATCTTCCAATGTGAAAACCTATGCTAACAATCGAATAAGGTCACAGGATTCTCAGACATTGCACCAGTCGTGCGAGAACAGACCGTTAAGGCCGTCTTGACTGTCGTTCCCAAACTCTCCGACCGGACCATTAATGGCGAGCTCCTCCGCCACCTAGCAAAGACATCAAATGACGAGCAACCCGGTATCCGTACCAACACCACAATTTGTCTTGGCAAAATTGCGAGGAACTTGAGTTCAAGTGTAAGTTTTGTCTGTATTGTCCGGCGTGTTGGCCATACTAATACTCAATAGAGTCGAGCAAAGGTACTTGCTGCTGCCTTCTCTCGGTCGCTGCGTGATCCTTTCGTACATGCACGCAATGCTGCTCTTTTGGCTCTTGCTGCAACGGCCGATCTGTTTAGCGAGGATGACTGTGCGAGTAAACTGCTTCCCATCATGTGTCCGTCATTAGTCGACAAGGAGAAGATCATTCGGGATCAAGCTCAAAAGAGTGTGGATATTTACCTAGCCCGCATACGGAAGTTCGCCGCCACCATGCCGGATACCGTGCTCCCATCACCTGGTCTAATCTCCGGCATTGCTGCTGGCCCTACACCTCGCATGGGTACTCCAGCGAACGACACCTCCTGGGCTGGATGGGCAATTTCGAGTTTCACCAATAAGTTGGCTGCCACAGCCGGAGAGATGCAAGCCCGTTCTTCAACGAATGGAGCGGCAGATCAGAGACCAGCTTCAGTTCCGCCATCCACAACACCCAATAAGCCACCAGTTCCTCTAGCATCGAAGCCAGGCATGACACTTCACAGCTCAAAGAGTTCAACAATCATTCCAACTGTCACCTCTCCGGACGCTGTTACCAGTTTTGATGACGAAGTCGAGGACTTTGACAATGAGTGGGGAGGTTTTGGCGATGATGATAGAATGGGCGCCAAGACCACCGAGCCAGATGATCAGGACGACGAAGATCCATGGGGTGCACCATCTGTGTCAAAGCCGACAAGTAAGATATCGTATGACGACAAAGGTGAACCAGACTTTGCTGGCTGGCTCGCGGCTCAGTCTACTGCAAAGAAGATAGTGAAGAATCCACTACCCAAAGCGCTTTCCAAGCCTTCAGCGCCAGCCACAAAGTCTACGCGCCCTGTTGTAGGAGGCAGATCAAGTACAACCGGCTCTGCAACAACGCGAAAGGTTGTGGTACCGCCAAAGAAGGAAGTCAAGAAAGAAACGGAAAAATCCAAGGAAGAGGAGGAGGAAGGGTGGGGTGATGCATGGTGAAGCAGGAATCACAATCAATGTCATGGGACTGATTCAAATACTGATTTCGTTTGCTCCTTTCCAGAACATAGCATGGCGATGGCGTTAGATGGATATAGAAGTACGTTTAGATTCGTCAAGGTGATGCTTTTCCCAGTCCTCATTATTTTGCTGTACACAATATGATACATTTCGAACGAACATTGACTTCTGAAAGCCTGCTCACACAGTTTTCTCCTCCTTTTCCCGCTTACCAAACGTATAGGCCAAGCCACATCCGGCAACGTTGACAGCACAAAGGGCTAACGACGCTCCTCTTACTACACCCCGCGCAGTGAATTTGTTCTTGATACCCTGATAGTGTGTCAGTCATTCTGCTTCTGCTACTATTGCGAGCATAATAATTCCACAGATCTGTATCCCACGTTCACCGAACTGGTTCAGACAAAGGCAGGGAGGGTGGTAGTACCTGACTTCTACGCATGGCCAGCAAAGCATAAAGGGCGCTCCATGCCGCCGTTATTCCCGCCGCATCCGTCTTGTAGTTACTCAAATTGAGGTAACTAGCAAAGAGCAGGACGGGCGGGAACATCATGGGGAATACTTGAAAGGGACGGGCATGTTGGGCGGTGATGAGTGTTGCAAGAAGGGTTGGGGGCACGGAGTTTTCTGTCCACTTGTTAGTTGATGCTTTTCTCGTATGTGTTTTGATGAGCTTCGATGGTGATAACTGGCAATGTGCTCTAGTGACAATGACCGAGATGTGAAAGAGGGAAACACGTGAGTATTTGCAGACAGGTGGTTTTGGTTGGAAGGTTGGGAGTGAGGTAGTTAACGTACCGCCCCAGTTGCGCAGTGATTGGAGTGTTGATTTCTGCACTGGTTTGTCCGCCATGATGGTTGTCGTATTGGCGTGGTTGTTGGGTTGTATGCTGTTCGATTGAGTAAGCCCAGCAAGATATACCTAGTTGACCTGGGTTGAGAATAGTTGGTATCGTATCTAGAGGATCAAACATGGATGACGTTTGGGCCAACCACCGGTAGTTTGTCGGCCTGACGTTCTGACGTTCCTGCTCTTGGTCACTTAACTTACCGTACCCTCTCTCTGCCACAATTTCGTCCGTGCGTCCCGTGCGGCTTCTGGAAACTGGCCTCGACTCGACGAACTTCAACGGACGTGGAGGACAGTCGCCGGCTGCCGGTCACCCTTCACAGCCCTATCGCCTTGCACCATTCCAGCGGGATTTCATTTTCCAGTCTCCAGACAGCGTGAATCGATTCCGAGAAGAAATCTCTACCGTGGCTTGTCACTATCAACGCGCCGCTTACACAACATCGCTGCCCGCTCAGGGCTCCGCCATCCACAACACCCGAGACGCCCCCTCAAACCATACCACACCCTATCTCAAGGCCAGCACTACTTACAATGTCCGGCAAAGCCTCGGGCTCACAACCTGCCAACGGAGAAGCAAAGCAACGATCGCACCACGATGGCAGCGCAGGCCGCGCATACACCACCGAGCAAAAAGCGGCAGTAATACGTATAAAGCGGTGCGCACCAACAGCCTATTACGAGATCCTCGGTCTCGAATCCGTCAAAGCGACGTGCTCGGACAGCGACATCAAGAAGGCCTACCGCAAACTATCGCTACTCACGCACCCGGATAAGAATGGATACGAGGGCGCCGACGAGGCGTTCAAGTTGATATCCAAGGCTTTCCAGGTGCTCAGTGATCCGGAGAAGAAGAAGAAGTTTGATCAGTTTGGTGGGGATCCGGATGCGAGGTTTAACCCGGCCTCTGCGGGGGGTGGTGGTGGTGGTGGTAGTCCATTTGGAAATGGTTTTGGAGGGAGACAAGGAGGGCCGATGTTCCAAGAAGAAATGACACCGGAAGAGTTATTCAGGCAATTCTTTGGCGGTGGGTTTGGAGGAGGTCCATTCGGTAAGACTCTCCTTAATCTTTGTGCATATACATACACATACAACAATGTGAAATATGAACACCACGACTAACCCCCCTCCAGGCGGCTTCGAAACAGGCCCAGGCTTCGTCTTCAACCTCGGCGGCGGCCCCGGCGTCCGCGTCCACCAATTCGGCGGCGGGCGCCCACGCAGACGACCGGCCACGGCCCACCACCCAGACTCAGAAGGCCAATCCGCATCCTCCGCCTTTGCCAACCTCCTCCCCCTCCTCTTCCTCTTCATCCTGCCCCTCCTCTCCTCCCTCTTCTCCGGCTCCCCCACCACCGCCACCGGCCCCTCGCTCGCCTTTGAAACCCCCCGGCCCCCACAAACTCTCCAGCGCGTGTCCTCGCGGTTAGGCATACACTACTTTGTCAACCCAAGTGACGTGCAGGAATTCAGCACCAAGAAGTGGCGCAAGCTGGATGACACGGCCGAGACGCAGTATCTGCAGACGCTGAATGCGCGGTGTAGGAATGAGCAGTATGCGCAGCGCAAGGCCATGGAGGATGCTCAGGGCTGGTTTGGCGTCGATGCTGTGGCTATGGATGCGGCGAGGAAGATGGAGTTGCGGAATTGTCAGAAGTTGCAGAAGCTAAATATTCGGGTTTGATTTGGAGGGGGAGATGTGAGCTCGAGAAGATTGTGAGAGGGTTTTGTTGATAGAAGGATTGATGGGGAGGTTGTATATGCTTGCATGGTGTATGGGCGTTTTTTCTTCTACTCTTCTTTCTTCTCTCTTCTCTCTCATCCTCTTCTTCCGGTCCTTTTGTGCGGCACATATGAGCACTTGCAGGACAGAGGGAAAATTCGGAGCGGTGAAACGAGCAAAAGGAAGCACGTACTCTTATCCACATGTAGAGAGTTTTTGTTGATGATATATCCCAATCCCAAGTCTAATTTTTACGCCTGAGCTGTATGCCAAAGAATATCGTTCAAGTACAAGCGTCCATGACATCATACTCGCACACCATCCTGTCAGTCCGACTGTCTATCATACAACCTGACTATGCGTATAGTTGCTGTATACACAACAACAACACCAGCACACCTCAGGCGCCCCCAAAGCCCCAGAACCTCTGGACGCGCATCTTGAAGCCCTCGAAACTGTTGAGTTTAGGCCGAACATCGAGATGGAAATTCAGCGCTTTTCCCTTTTTGCCCTCGTCCCTGCCAGCATAAAAATCAATCACGTATTCAATCTTCTCGCCACAGCGATCCACGACCCAATCGTGCCTGTCAAAGGGGGCCTGGTAGCCCATCCACGTCCTCCACCTGGCACGCGGGGTCAGGCTGGTGCTCAGGCCACTAAAACTGGCGAGTTTAGGGCCGCCGCAGGATTCGCTGCCGCGGCCTGCTTCCCAGGCTTTGATTTCGTGCCAGGCGCGCTCGTTGACGGCGTTGTGGATGGGGACAATGGTCTTCATGTCCGAGGTTTGCGGGTCGTAGGCTTTGCGGCGCATGGCTTCGAAGAACATTTGTTCAGACGGGTAGATCCAGTTTCCGGTTGCTTTGTCGGGGGCGGTGTCGCGCTCGCTGTTTGCCGGGCGGGAGGAAGGGGATGAGGAGGAGGGCAGGGTGGGGAGAGCCCGTGGGATGGTGCTGACTTCGCGGTCGGTGCCGAGACGGGTGTGGGAGAGGAGGGAAATGGCTGTTGGGGCGGGGGATGCGGTGGATTGGTCGAGGGTGGAGGAGTCGCAGGATTGTTGGACGGGGGAGGACGTTTGCGATTGTGATTTTGATTGTGGTTGTGGTTGTACTGGTGCTGGCGCAGCGGCGGCTTCATGTGGATTTAGATTCTGGGCGCCGCTTGCGCGGGCTTGGGCCAGCCATACTTCGCGGGTCTTGTGGTCGACTGGACAAGCAGCGGCTGGGCCTTCCTGTGAGGGCATTGTTGTGATAGGATTTGGTGTGGGCATGTCAAAAGTCTTGGAGGAACATGGGATGGTGACGACAACGGGCCGAGGAATTGTTGAGCTTTGACCAATCGGTCTCGGAACACTGCTGCATGCTGATTGGCTCACTGCGGACACTAGCCTCGCCTTCACCGCCCTGGGCCCTGCTGGGGTTTATGCTCGCTTTCACAAGATGAAGTGTAGTGTTATACATTGTTGTACTTTGGAGGTAACTAGTATAAACGTGTTTCCTGTTTCTCGAGTGAACTGTGAGCCAGCTACATTGTGGTATTATCGCCTCCACTGTTGGTAATACCATTTCAAGCGTGTTGACATATACCGGTAACAACATTTGAAGTCTCCCCCACCAAAAACCCTTGTTTCTGCCTCTTCATCTCACCTTGACCCCTCCAAACAACAACAACAACAACAGCAACAACAACAACGACATGGCAGACATTCACCGTGCCAGCACCACTGCTCCGGTAAACATTGCTGTCATCAAATACTGGGGGAAACGTGACCCCAAACTGAACCTCCCTACCAATTCCTCCCTCAGCGTCACCCTTGCCCAGTCCGATCTCCGCACGCACACCACTGCTTCCTGCTCGCCCTCCTACCCCGCCGAGGACACTCTGCTCCTCAACGGTCAGCCTCAAGATGTGTCTGGTGCTAGAACACAGGCCTGCTTCCGCGAGCTCAGGACTCTGCGCAGGAAACTAGAAGAGCAGGATTCGTCTCTGCCCAAGCTCGCAGACCAACCTCTCCGGATCGTCTCCGAGAACAACTTCCCCACCGCAGCTGGCCTCGCCAGTTCAGCCGCCGGTTTCGCTGCTCTCGTCCGAGCCATTGCAAATCTCTACGAACTCCCCTCATCGCCCACGGACCTCTCGCGCATCGCTCGACAGGGCTCGGGCTCAGCATGTCGATCTCTCTTCGGTGGCTACGTAGGCTGGGAACAAGGCTCTGCTGCTGACGGCAGTGACAGTGTGGCCTTCCAAGTTGCACCTGCAAGCCACTGGCCCAACATGCGTGCTGTCATTCTCGTGGTCAGTGCCGCAAAGAAGGGTGTATCAAGTACCACTGGCATGCAAACCACCGTCGCCACATCCTCGCTGTTCCAGTCAAGGGCCAAAGAGACGGTGCCACGCCGCATGAAGGAAATGCAGGAGGCTATCAAGAACAAGGACTTTGAGACCTTTGGCAAAGTGACCATGATGGACAGCAATTCTTTCCACGCAACCTGTCTGGATACCTTCCCACCAATCTTCTATTTGAATGATATTTCGAGGGCGGCCATTATGGTCGTCAATGCGATCAATGCGGCAGCTGGAAAGATCATTGCGGCGTACACTTTCGATGCCGGTCCAAATGCGGTGGTCTATTACCTTGAAGAGAATGAAAAGGACGTTGCTGGTCTGTTCAAGCTGATCTTGGGCGACAAGGACGGCTGGCAGGGTGAGAGGGGAGCCAAGGTACAGGCTAACCCATCGGAGTTGGAGAAGGTCAAGGGTGACTGCGGTCCCGCTATTGCTGCTTTGGAGGAAGGTGTCAGCAGGGTCATCTTGACTGGTGTTGGTGAGGGTCCCGAGAGGACGGATGTGATGTTGATTGATGGGAAAGGTGAGCCGGTTGTCACTGCTTAGGCTGGAGCGTGTAATGGTAGTGCCGTGGCATTCTATGTAGATACCCATGCGAATGAGAGTAGTTATGCCAGATTACAGAGAAGTCTCAGAGATTGAATGTTGATGTGGACGAAAGGCAATGGGGCATGTTATATCAGGGCCTATGAACAACAATGATCAATCATTTCCGGTGTTCAATGCATCAGGACCTCGGTAACGAATACCGGTAGACTAGAAAATGACGTTGGAAGGAAAGCAAGGACAAGCTAATCTGGTGCAAAATACTCTACATTACGGCTGAAACGCACACATTTTGTCTGTCACAAAATAACATGCTACTAGGCTCTACAACTGCTCCTTTACATGGTCTACAGACGGCTCAGAACTATAATGATGAACTTCACTTCACACTGGAAATCACTGTTTCCCAGGCGCCGTCTTTCCATCTTAGCGCCATGCAGTAGGTAGCACAACACAACCGCTTCATCTTTCGCGCTGCACATTTCAATGTACCACAACACCATCTCCGCAGACAAAAAAAAAGACAGCTCCCGCGTCGCGAGCAGTCTCCGTACCAAAGACATGACTTGACCAACGACTCTCAGCGCGCGGTCCACTTCTTGCCGCCCGCAGAATGCGATCTGAAACACAACCCCATGTATCTACCCGAGCGCGTTTCAATCACTCCCGCCCAATCACTACGCGACTCCTAGACGAGCACCAAACCGTGCTTCAACTTCTGGATGCCCAAGGCCTGGTGTCTTGCCGGGATGCTGGCCGTGTCGCTGCGGTCCTGCGTTGTCTGTGTCGGCATGTCTGCGAGCGCTAGACTGGTCTGAGGGATGAAACTGGGTTGTACGAGCGTCAGGTATAGAGTTTCGAGTGATTTCGGCCACTCGATGGAAGATGGGGGCGCGAGTGAGGAGGAAAGGTATCGGGAGTGTGTTGCTCAGGTTCGCGACGGTGACAGGTGGGTCTAGAGGTGACTTTTGATCCTCAGGTTCCCGCCTTCACTTGGACTCTTTTGCCATTGTTTCTATTCTTCGCTCTTCTTTTTTCCATCACAAGTTGGTTGCTGCTATTGTAGAGCAGTGTCGCTGCCTCGCTGGCGTGGGCCAATCTATCATTCTCTCTCTCTCTCTCGACCTTCTTTTCTTTACCTGTACTCTCCCAACAACCAAGCTTCTTGACTTCCTTCAACCAACCCTTTGCTCGACACACACTCAAACTTTCAACTGCTGGGCAGATCAACTACTCCACATTTTCAGTACCAGCTTCTTCAACAAATAAAACCATTTGTACATTGCAATGGCGCTTCTCTCAGCCGAACACCTGGCTGGCCCAGGCTACATTATTCTCAATATCCTGCGTGGCTTGAATATCATTGCTCTTGCTTCGGTCGTTGCAAGCAGCATTGTCATGCTTGTCAAAACCTTCATTATCTCCAAGGTGTGTCCAGTTTTTCCAACCACGCCAACAAAGCTCATCATATGCAGTTCTTCTTCTTCGATGCTACGAGTCACGTCATCACTGCCATTGCAGGCCTTTTCCTCATCGTCTCCGAATGCTCACTTTTCCGCAACTTCTTTGCCCGAAACTGGCCACTTCTCAGCTCTGCCCATGGCTTCGTCACCTTGGGCTGCGCCATGATGGTCATCGGACTCAACATGCTAGGCAACATGAACAAACAAGCCACCAGCCAGGAGTCTCTAGGCATGCCATTCTGGCGTCTGCTCGTAGCCTCAGGCATCCTCGCCATTGTCATTGGCTTCTTCAACATTGTTGCAGTAAGTCATAGCCCTCCCTCCACATTCACTGCCAAACTAAACCCTCTCCCTCCACCAGAGCTTCATCTTCCGCGACAAAGCCCGCAACATCACCGCCCGCCGCGTCCGCTCCCGAGGCGCCATGACGCTCCAAGAAGACATTGAAACAGCGTCGGCCTACGACCCAAAGCACAAAGACTTCACCATCAGCACCCACCACACCGGCAGCAGCTCCAGCCGCACACACATGCACCACAGCCCTCCCCTCCGCAACCCAACTCCCCCCATCGACTTGCACTCCCCACCCCTCCCCAACAACAAAGAACAAGACGCCCAAAACCCCCTCCACGACTTCTCCTTCAGCCCCCTACGCGCCTTCCGCTCAGCCCGCCAATCCTTCCTCCCCTCCTACCACAGCACCTCGCCCACCTCCGCCACCTCCGCCCCCAAACCCAAACCCTCCTTCCTAGCCTCCCACCGCCCATGCAGCTCCATCTACAGCCGCACCACCTCTGGCGAGCCCCAGAAAAAGCGCTTCTGGCAGCGCCAGCGCGAGGAGCAAGAGGAAGAGGTTGCGCGCATGCCGCAGATTAGTTATCCGCTTAATGTGAATCCTCAGTTTGCCCATCTGGTTAGGCCGGATTTGGCGCATCATCCTAGTGTGAGGAGGCCGGAGGTTACGGAGTGGGATAAGATTTGAGGGGGGTGGGGGGTTGTTATCATGATACCACTTTCTTTATTACTTTTTTTTTTGGGTTCACTATTTTTTGTTGGGTCGACATGGTATATTGAGTCATGGCATTGGCGTTGCGGATGGCTTGGGTATATGGGTATTGGTGTTCCGGTTGAAAAGAAGACGGGGTATGTGGCAGTGGTTTGTATGACACTGTCTGTTGTTACTGCATCCAAAGTATATGCCACAATGGCACTTGGTGATATTTCTTACATTTTGGCCACTTTTATGACTCGCGATGTTTATGATACAATGGTTAGTCAGTGGTGCACAGCTACACGTACATAATCCTACACAACGAGTCACGGACGTGATTGTCGAAAAACCCAGCTTAATCTTTCGCCCATGTAGACCCAAATAACGAGACAACGAGTATGATGTCCATGTCCACGTTATCCCGTATATCCCCATCCTTCCATTTCATATTCCACGCGTTCCACTTTCCACCCCATCTTCACTCCTCATCAACCGGCACCTGAAATGGATCAATAGCATTCCCATTCGGATCATAAAGCTCCAACTTCTCCCCATCCTCGAGCGTCAAACTCCACTCTTGGGTATAATACAGCCCACCCCTGCCCTTCCTTCTACACCTCAACCTCGCCAGCCCCGCCCTCTTGGTCCCCTTGACCCAAAAGCTAATATCAATGCGCCCATGCACCTGGTTAATCTCGCCCCGGATCCAAGGATACTTGCTCGCAAAGTAGATTTCGTCGCCGAGGACCTCGCGTACGGCCGGATTGGTGCGCAGTGCGTAGAGGGAGGAGCTGACGACCGAGGACTCTTGCTTTTGGTAATTGAAGAAGACGAGGACAGAGACGGTAAGGGCGACTACGAAGACGGGGAGGGTTTTAAGGACTTGGCGTGAGATCAGGGGAGGGACGCTGTGGATGTGGGGTCAGCATGTATGATGAATGGTGGTGGGCTTGTTCAGGCAAATGTGCAGGGAAGGACGGGTATGGGATGTGGGGGAGAAGGCATACGGTGGTAATGCGCGGTTTGGACGGCGCTCGTAGAGGATTTCCCCGTCTTTGGGTGGGGGGATGAGGTTTTCGGGGGACCAGACGCTCGTCGGTGTTTTCCATGGTACGACGGGTTTGACGTCGCTTTGAGAAGTTGTGGAGGCATGGCGGAGAGGGGCTATCCGGTGGTAGAGGCATTGGTAGGATACTTGGGGTCTTACCCGTAAGAGCGCGGGTGAGAGCCGTGGAGGAGGCATTGTGTGTGGTTTGGCGCAATGTGGTGGTGCGTGTGAAGTCGCATGTATGAGATCAGTTGATGCTTGGCGGCGGCTTCGGCTAACGTGATCCACCACTGAGCGCCCACCCCCACCAAGCGCCCACCAACACTAAAATTATAAATTTTCAACACAAAATTTCTTAATAACTATAGCACCTATTAATAATACACTTATAAAAATAAAATCCTTGACTCTTAGGGAAGATTTTATATATTTAAAAATAGTAGGAAAATATAGTTATTTATAATTAATTTTATCTAGATACTATTAGAAAATTTAGTAGGTATACTACTACTTTAATAAATAGTTAATTACTTAATACTATATAAGAGAGAATAAGGTAGCTATTAGGTACCCCCCTACTCTAAGTATATTAGGGTATACTATATAGTTAGGGTTTAGGGTAGTAAATAGGTATAGGTTAGGTATAGGTTAGGTTAGCTTATATTAGACCCTAAACCTAATATAAACCTAACTATAAATTCCTATATAGGCTATAGGCTTAGGTTAGGTTTAGGTTATATAGGCTATAGGCTTAGGGTGTTATAGACTAGCCTTAGGGGAGAATATAATAAGTGTTAATAATAGTATTTATAATAACTTAGGTAGGTAGGGCATCTAAAAGGTATCCTATATAACTTAAAGGCATGTAGGAGTGCATATCTATATAGAAAAGTATAGAAATCTAGATTACTAAGGTTAGGAATAATTTAGGAGATAGATTATTAGATTATATCTACTACGATTAGACTTATATATATAGAGCTTTAGCTACCCTTACTAGAAGGTAAATAATTAGTAAACCTTCCTTACTAGAGCTCCTGCTTTTTATTAGGCACTTAGTAGTAAGCTAGCAGTTAATTAGATAGTAGGTTATATAGGGGTATTAATTAGGGTTAATTAGATTTGTAACGACTTAGGTAGGTAGGGCATCCAAAAGGTATCCTATACGACTCAAAGGCATATAGGAGTGCGCGTCTATACAGAAAAGGATAAGATTCCTACACCTATAGGTCTTATACAAAAGGACAAGAAGAATATACCTATCCTAACTATAGGCGAGCTGTTCTCTATATATATAAGTAAGTTAGGCCTTTATTAGGCCTAACTTAGTATAGAATAATAGGCAGGCAATTCTACCTTATTATTACACTACCCCCTCCTATAGAAAAAGGATAGTCCCTATCCTTAGGATTAGGTTTAGATCCCTTATTAAAGAAGAGCTTTTTGCAAATAATTCTACCTTTACCTCTACTTTTACCTTTACTTCTTCTTCCTAGGGCATAGACCCCTATCCTTAGCCTACCTATAACTAGCCCTCTACCTACTAACTTTCTTATTCCTATATCCCTAATTTTTTAATTATTTAACCTAATCTATCTAAAATCTAGTAAGTATTTAATCTATATAATTAAATAGTTACTAATCTAAATTAGAACCTTTAGCTATACTAGTACTAGTACTACTAGGAGTCCTCCCTATTACTTATCGCGCTCTCTATATAAGAGCAGTTAGGGCTCTAGCTAGGGGCAGGTTTAATAATTTTAATTTTAAGTTAAAGAATTCTAAGAAGTGCTAGTACTATATCTCCTAGAATAAGTATTATAATCTAGTAAGTATCTAAGTCTAATAGGGTTCCTTTACTAATCCTAGTAGATTCCTTCTTTTATTAGCTAAGAGTACTCTACCCTTAAGGGTGCTCTAGAAGAATACTATAGCCTAATTAGAAACCCTACTAAAGGGGATAAGGATAAGAAAGCTATAGTTACCTATTAGAAGGATGTTAAGCAGTTTAAGGCTACTATTTAAGAAACTACCTAAAACCTAGCTAAGTGTATTACTATTACTAATACTTAGACTAAGGGTATAAAGGCTACTAAAATCCTTATAGCTACCTATTATACTACTATATCTAATTTATATTAGCTTTAGAATAGTATCTATAAGATAGTCTTAGTAGTTAGGGGCTTAATAAAGGCTATAAATAAACTTAAGGAGGAATTAGCACTAAATTAGGAGGCAACTTTCTTAGTATAGGCTAAGATAAAAGCATTCTATAAGAAGGAGTCTAAATTAGTCCTAGCTCCTGTCCCTACTCCTGCACCTGCTCTAATCCCTGCTGCACTAGTTATCTAGAAGCTAGTAAAGAAGGATAGTCTAGGCGCTATCTTAGCTAATATAGAGTCTAAACTAGGTTCTAATAGAGAGATAGATATAGAATAAAGAGGTTTCCTAGGGGTAGTATCCTAGGAACCTTAAAGGTTCTAAATAGGATATAATAATAAATAGTAATAAGAATAATAGTAATAGATAGTAGTTAATAGATAATATATAGCTAAATAGGATATAAATTAGTTCTAATATTAGGTATAATTATTATAAAGTAATATTAGATCCTCTTTGCCTTTTTCCTATACTTAAATCTATTTTAGTAAGCTATATAAGGAACCTAGCTAATTTAGATACTATTAGTAGAATACCTGTAATTTATAGGGAGCACCTATAAAGTTAGAGGTAGGATACTAAATAGGATTAGGATTATATCTAACCTACTTAACCTTATATTTTAGCTTAGATTAATATAATTTGCTAGCTAGGATTTCTTCCACCTCCTATTCCTCTACACCTTGTATAGGGGTACTAGGGGGTTTTAGAGCCTCTTATCTAGGCAAGCAGCGTCTTAGGGATCTTTGTATAGTATATTAGGAGAGAAAACGTTATAGATCTTAGAACTAGGTAGTAATTAGAGGTAATACGCGTTTCCTACTTATTCTAATACCTTAAAGGGACCTTCCTATTATTTAGATAGTTTTTAGCTAGGTTATAAAATAGTAAGATTAGTAGTAGATAGATAAATATAGTTACTAACCTTCTAGTTAACTAGATAGCGATAGTAATTAGTAGCAGAGCGTATTTAGTCTTAAGCTCTTTCTATATTTTCTTTAGTAATCTTTTAGGCGTTGTGTATCTAAGTAGCAAGGGATAAGGCGTCCTTATAGTTTAGTTTCTCTAGTATAGTAGATAGGGTCTTTTCTAGTTTCTAATACTAACTTTACTTTAGTAAGGAACTAAAGAGGAGCTAATATAGAGCTATGCTAATAGATAAATATAGAAGAGTACTTTAGGCATAGTCTATTATAGGTAGTAGGTTGCTCTAGTTATCTTAGTAATAGGATACAAAAGGCCTTAGTCTCTAATTAATATACTTGTTTATAATCTTAGTTTATCTATTAGTTTATTTGTAGTAGGTAGTAGAGAGCTTAACTTTAGTGCCTATAATCTAATAGAACTTAGACTAGAAACTAGATACAAACTAAGGGCCTTAATTAGAAATAATAGTATCTAGAGTATGTCTAAATTAGTACACCTACTAAACAAATAAGGTAGCTATACCTTAGGCGTCTATAGTTTTGTAGCAAGGGATAGTAATAGCTTACTTTAATAGGCATTTAATAATAACTATAATCTAATTGTAACTACGTTAATCCTAGGGAAAATCCTTAAAATTAATGCATAGGTGCTGCATTAGTAGACTAGGGATAGGAAGGGGGTAGAGTATGCTAGGGAGTTAGTGCTATCTTAGGTGCCCTCTCCTGCATAGGATACAGTTCCAAACGTAGCGTTTATAGGTAGTCTCTATACCTTTCTAGTAGTAATGTTAGGCTAGAATCTAATAGGTTTTAGTGGTAGATAGGTAGGTAGTAGACACTTAATTATAAGCCTTACAAATTAGTCTAGTATATAGGACTAATCTAGTAGGCACGCAAAGCTAATCCTAGTAGAGAAGGAGTCTATTTTCTATCTAATAGTGCTTAGGCAACCCTAATCTTTCTATTAGGAATAAGGACCTATTTTCTTAGAGAAGAGCTTTAATAAGTTCTAGGGATCTAAGAGTTATAGGGTTCTAAACCGCTGTAATTAAAGCAAGGATTAGTAAGGAATGCTTAGCTAGGTAGTCTTGCGCTAAATTAGAGTTAATTTAGGGGTGTAACCTATCTAGGGCAATTATTACTTGTAAGCGATTATCCCTTTAAGTAGTCTTTAGGTTAATTATATCCTGTTCCCTTCTGCTTAGGATATTAGCTTAGGTGTTGTAAGATCTAGGAGTATACTTAATTTAGAAGTTAAAAGGACTTATAACCTCTAGCTATCTAGCTTGCCTAGCACTAAGGACTTTAGTAGATATAAAGTACTCTAGTGCTCTATAGTCTATATATACTCTAATAAGGTGCTAAGTACTTATTAGGTTAGCACGCTATTTCTTAAAGGCGCAGATTATTACAAACAATTCTTTATTATAGATTTCCTAGTTAAGTTTAGAACTAGTAAGGGTCTAACTAAAGAAGGATATAGGGTACTATTTCCTATTAGGATGCTCTTATAAGAGGACAGCTACAATAACTCTATTAGAGGCGTCTATCTCTAGTTTTAGAGGGTACTTAGGATAGAAGTAAGCTAAGCTTAGGATTGCTAGCAGGGCATTCCTAAGCTAGTTAAAGGCTTATTAGCATTCTAAAGTCTATACAAATAGGGTAGCAGGACTCTAGAGAGTAGTTAAGGGCTTAGCTATCTTAGAGAAGTTTTCCACAAATTGCTAGTAGAATCTAGTAAATCCTAGGAAGGACTTTACTCTAGTTATTGTCTTAGGAGCGGACTAGTTTTAGAGTACTTTAACTTTGTTAGGGTCCACCTCTAAGCCTTTATTATTAAGGATATATCTAAGGTAACAGGTACAAGTTGTATAGAATTCGCTTTTCTTAATATTAGCCTGTAATCTAGTAGAATAAAGACGCTTAAGGACTTTTTAAACATAGTCCTTATAAGTAGCAAGGTTCTTAGAGTAGATAAGGATATTATCTAGATAGGTAATGTAGAAGTTATCTAAATAGTCTATTAGTATATTATTTATATAGCGCTAATAGGTTGCAGGTCTATTATATAGCCTAAATAGTAGGACTTTATATTTATAGGCACTATAC